CCCTGAACAATAAGCAGATGCTACATCGGTTATTTAAAAAAATCCGGTATTCCTAGTGAATGCTTCGTTAAGACACAAAACATATCGTAAAGTGTTTACAAGGTTTACAACAATTTGTATGTGCTGCTCAGAAGGGAAAGTTGTTAGTGACTCTGCTGTACCGAAGGGCCCAGGTTCGAATCTCGGAGAAGGTACAGACGTAATTTGTCAGTCCCTTCATAGGAGACAGCGACGATCCACCCACTAGGTGCCTCTATAAATATAAGAGACCACCGTTTCTGTCTTATTTTTACTTATTTATCTTATTATTTTACTTATTCTTACTTATTTTTGATTTAGTATTTTTGTTTGTTGTTTGGGGGTGGCTGGGTTACTGGCTGCTCTCGTTTGTGGAGATACGGGGCCCCTTCTTTTGAGCTATGGGGACACTCGTGTCCAGGTGGGCTGAAGGGAACCTCCAATTCTTACCGTTTCTGTCTTTAGAAGTAGACAATGCCTATAAACAGCTAAAGCGTACCACTGGAAAAAAGTGTATGTTACGTGTTAAGCATTTACAGATATTTCAATTTTTCTTTGCCAGAAGCATCAATAAGCGACTAACCAACATCGCTCAAATGGTGCTCCAGGCGCCTTTACGCGTTAAAAATTCGCATCAGTTGTGGATAAGTATTTATCATATGTCGTGCGCGTTCAGTATAAAACCCGGCGGGAACTAATGGGTTAATTATTAACGGCATTATAAAGAACTGTAATTGTGATTTTTAAAGTAAGAAATATATATACCCCCCAAAAAATACTTAAGAATTATTAAGTACGTTAGAAATTCCGAAGGCGTTTTCTATATTCCATGTATAACTATTAAAAATGTTTATAATTACGGCAATAGCTTCCATTTAAATAGCTTCAGGAAGCTAACATTTTCTGCAACGCCTGTTTCTGAAATTTACGGAAAATAACATTATGTTTTCATTTTACTTTAAGCAATTTCATAGTTGCAAAGTATATCTGTCTCATAACTGTAGTTGCATAATCCAAAATTTTTAGAAGCGATTTAGATCACTCAATTCAAAAGCGATTAACTCACGTAGTCAATAAATTTACATGATATTGCAAAAAATGCCCCGTCCCTTGCGGTTAAGAAGACGCCGAGATCCCCCTTCTTTTATCACCAGCCTTTTGAGAGCCAGGTCATTATTGACCTTGATGGAGTATAACTACTTTCACTGCTGCAAAAACTACAAGAAATGGGAAAACGTTCCTCTCCTCTTTAAAGAGATACCGACGTTTATGCCTTCTACGGGATTCTAAATTACCTCACGATATGGTAGCCCACTTCAATAGTTACAAGTGTGATTGCTTAAATTGTTTTCCTTTCACAAGAAAGCAAAACCCCTGTGTTCCGAAAAACGATGTATTATTCCCACGAACACAGCATGAATCGGAACTTTGAACAACGTGAAGTCATTATATACTTAACTCACCTTCTTGGTTTACATCTGATGTTCTTTTAGAATTTAAGTCTTTACCCTTTCAGCCTGACTTACCCAGCTGACCACGGAGCCAAAGAACGAAATGCTAACTTCCACTTGCGAACTGGACAACCGGGACCAAAGGTCATAGACCGGATGACCACGCTTCCTCGCGCAGCCTACAATTAGCAGCAGGCTGAAGTATGCAGAGAGTGCGATCTGGCTTCGAGACCGGAGATTATCTCCTTTAGTTCCCCTGAGAATGAGAAAGGCAGGGCTTTCGTGCATGAAGTAACTTTCAGACTTACGGGTTATTAGCGACGTTCAAAGAAATTCCTTTCAAAGTGGAATCAGACTCAGCCCTGACGGATGCCGTACTACAGATTTCCCAACTGATAGCTTAATAGCATGGTTTCCATTTTTTAATAAGAATAAAATTATTTAGCTGCAATAAAATAAGTAAAAAAATCAACACTACTGGTTAAAATTGGCATACTGGAACATTTTTCGATTAGACAGTGACAATTGTTTTTCACAGAGACATCTGTTTATTGTCAACGTTAGCAATTATTTAACATTCAGACAAATATATTGACAATAGCCACTATACAATGATACGTTTGAAATAGTGGCATACAAAACGTCTCATTCAAAATTAATACATACACGTTATAATATTTTGGTGGATCCCACGTAGACACGCCCCGCACCAGTAGCCAAGCGATTAAAAAGTGATGAATATTGGTAGTTCGTCCAGGCTTAGAAACGAGGCGAACGGGTTGGCTGCATGGCTGGTATTTGGTTTTTCTCAATCTGTAACGTGATTACGAGCCATTTCCCTTCGAAAATCCTCGAAGAACGCATCCCTCTCCTTATACAGATAGTCCTCGTATGCTTTGCCTTATTCAGATTAATTAATGTATGAGAATACAAGAAATATTTCAAAAACATTTTCGACCAAATGGAATATGGGAAAAACTGAACAAATATGAAATGAGCAGCTCATGAGGAGAAAAGTATACCACGTCATTGTAATTTCATTCTTAGAACTTGGGAAAATTTTGCGACCAGGTTTTTGAGAGGGTCATCAAGTCGGAAGACGTAAGTTTAGCAAAAAACTCATATCATGGTACAAACAGCAAATGAAATCGAAACAAAAATAATTCGAAATTATAAGATACGAAGAAAGCGCGTTCACTGTAGTGCCACAATACTGCGCATAAACTCGAAATATTTACTTTTCGATGAGGGTAAATAAAATTTATAGCATACATTTAAGTATACAAAATTTGCTTTAACTAGAGCAAGCGACTGATATCCTAGCCACAATATTTTTAGACTATCATAACCCAACAGTGTTCAAATTTTAGATCGACCTTTTGTGCAATGACAGCACATGTACTTTAAAAATCAAAATAGGATGGGGAGGGAGAAAAATATTTTCTCTGATGAAAGACAAGCGAAAACAGCGCTACGAGGGAAGAGAAAGTGATTGAGGGGGGGCCTCAAATACTTGCATGGATGCCAAAAACGTTCTATTGAAAATTTAACTGCTTTCCACACTGGCACACTTTCATTACATGGGGTAAAAAGATCTAACGCCATTTGCAAGATTATTGCGCAAAGAAACAATGACGTGCTTGAGAATTTGAAAGACTACCAAACTGTGACAAGCAGAATATATGAAATTCATATCACTTCGGGCAAAATAAATACGAAAGTAACAACAAGTTTCGAGACAACTACGCAAACATTTCGCTCAGTTTTAATTTCACAGCAAATGCACTACGAAGTAGCTACATAAAGCTATTTGATTTTTTGGTTGTTATGAATTAATACTACGACATCGGGTAACTAAATCTCAAAGCTGACCGCAATTTTCAACAAGCACCACTTTACTGCTCTTTATATAACGCCAAGTATTTCTTAATTTAAAAGCAGATAACGGAGGTGGCATCATACAGTTTTATAAACTACGGAAATTTCTTCATAACATAAAATTTCAAATTGGAAACGTTAAGATTTTACTAGATAATTAATCACTCCCATTCACAGAAATGTAGTAGGAATTCACATAGTAATCAACTTCCAATAAAAACAAATGGCAAAATATTTAGAAGCACTGCGATTGCCAAATCCACGCTTCGATTCAAACGAGGAAGCCGTGTCATGGTACTGTAGTTGCTTGCAAAGTAACTTAGGAAACCCAATTATTTGTATCACTTATTGTTCTTTCTCAGTAAAAACAGTTGTTGCTAACTTATTTTCTTAATTTTGATTCTTATCGATTTAAATAATATAACAGAACAAAATACATGTTTTTTGTTAAGAAGCGATGCAGGTCTTTCCCATCTGTCCTTCCCCGTTGACGCACACTTGCTGGAAGGCATTCGTCGAGAATGGTCATTTAATCGTCTAGTCACCGAGAACGTTCTTTGCCCAGGGTTAGACCTCTTTTACGCTTGCAAAAAAGGACACATACATACAGCCAAACAATACACCGGAGTAAAACCCACACCCTTAGTGTTATCAGTTTCGATGAATGCGCATGCTATCTGGATGGTAACATAAAAATTGTGTGTTGTTTACATGTTTTGTTTAGTTTTAGGTTTAATTCAAATAAAAATATGACAGCGAGTTTGGAGTGCTGTCGGAAAAAAAAAAAAAAAAAAAAAAAAGAATTTTTCTGAATACATTATTATTAAAAATTACACTTAGTAGTGAAAAAATACTGGTTTCTCTTTCACACTTTACTTTTTTAACAACATTATTCTTTGTCGAATTAAAATCCGATTAAAAAAAATTCCCTCACTTGAGTTTACAGTAAACAGATACTAGCCTGCATATAAAAAGCTGCTCAATTATCCGGATATAAATGACTGCCGTCGCAGACGGCCGAATATTTAGATTTCTATTATAAGAACTTCGGGTAGGTCCCGTTATCTCTATTATTGCACTTCGTTTTATTGTGCTTTCTCTCTCTTTCTGTCAGATGACGTTCTATTTTTTAAAACGTTACATTTTTATAAATTCCAAATAGTGAATTCACAAAATGCTAATTCCCGCACTATTTTAAGCGTTTTGGCTGTTATCATACTGAAATTCCGACTATCAATAACCTAGCAACTAACTGCATTTAAATGCTCGTGTCAAAGGATAACGTCTGTCATTTTAGACCAAAAGCTAAAAATGCTTAATCTTTCAGAGAAAGACGTGTCAAAAAAGGCGGCAGTTCAAACAATGCTCTCGAAGAAAATTAAAAAAGAGCTCTTCAACGAACGCCGAAATTGATAAGAAAGCGAAAGGACTTTATCGCTTTACAGATTATGGTATTTGCTCTATAAACATAACGTTAAAGTACCAAAAATTAGTTTTTATGCCGTATTCGATAATATAGGAATTTTCATCTTATGCCACAGAGACTATAATCGTAAATGTCCTATGTCACAATAAACATAAATGTCCACTGAACAGAATTTTTGATGATATTTACCGAATATGTTAAAACAAATTTAGAAATAAGATACTTACCACACAAAATTCAGGACAAACATGCCGTTGAACCAGTACTTCATATAGGATGGTCGATGTCAATCCTTTGAACTATTACAATTTCAAGGAGCGAACACATTAAAACACCAATTCGAAACAATTTCCCCGCCAAATATATCCACAGAGCTCCGAAATCCAGCGAAGAATCATGCGTGATCAAATCTCAGAATGGGACAGATCAGGCGCGAGACGACCTCACTTGTCAGGGAATATGTTACCAAAAATGGCCGTAGAATGTGCGGCAATAATCTTGCGCGCAACCGCCCGTTGCCAAGTGAAGTTGGCGTCTGTTAGCAACGCTTTAACGGTCGCCGGACAGCCAGCTGGTTGCTACATGTGTGCTGCCCCCTGGCGGTGACTCTCCCCTTTTCCGTGCATTTGCTTTCCTCCAAAAAAAAAAAAAAAAAAAGAACGTGACATTCCGAATCACCGTTCCGATCAGCGGTTTCCGAAATTTCTTCCGATGCAAAAGAGAAAACAGCGTTGTCACATCATTGGCGTTCTTTAAATAAAGACGTTGGTTTATGTCGAGCACTTCTTTAAAAAACAAGATTTTCTTCAATCTATTTTTTAACCACTAACAACCGTTTCCCAAATTATATTTCTTTTCACGAATATATTATGGGAAAAAAAAACTATTTTTAGCAACAGAAGACAATAACTATGTGAAAGGGGGGTGACCTTCAAACTTGTGCATATAAATAAAAATGTTAGTATTTCTCCGAAGAAAGGCTAAAATTCGAATAAATCCATTCAACATAATAATTTCAATAGGGAGGGGGTATTTCACAATAAAGTAATCCATTGGGTTAAAAAAACGAAAAAATACCCTTTTCCAACGCCTAAGAAGTTTGGTTACGTAATTTACTGAAAATTAAAATGAATTAAATGGAAAATACATCATTAGGCTTCCTCACTGCGACAGAAAATGTCCCCCTTGAAACATTCCTATAATTTTTGCACTCTTCTCGACTTTGAGATAGCACTGAAGTATTTAATACTTGTTTAATTCTGTCATTACACGATAATTTTTAGAATTTCAGAGCTGATTAAATAAAATCAACGCAGAAAGTCAATGCTGATTACTGTCCAGGCTTGGCTCACCGGCAAAGCCAAGAATAGAATTTCTCGATTCTAAAAGAGACAAAATTATACTTATTTACAATCATGTTCCTCCTCAAATAAAAACGACGTTAATAAGCAAAGCAGGCCCTGAAATTTCGCCAAGTCTAGGGCCATCTTGAGTCTCTCTTAATCGGGTCCCCAAGTTATGATAATGAGAGATCATAACGCACCACGTCCGAATCCTGTGATGTAAAAACGTCGCTTCTAATTATCCACTCTGATATAAAAGGTGAAGACTTAATTAATTGCAGCTCTCGAGATCCAAGCCATAAATTTAAGGTGTAAACAATACGCTTGTTCAGATTTCATAGTTACAATATGATACTAGGATCAACAGGTTGTTAAAGACGAACCACTGACTAATTACAATTCTTAACGAAGTAATCAGAAGAAGCCGATCAGGGGCTAAAAATAGCATGTCTGTGTGAAGCAAATCCGGTGGGTTCTAATTTATGCTGGGATCTCACATCTTCACCGTAGTAATAGATTAAATTAAAAATCTTTCAAGTGTAGGAGTCTTTTTCGACTTTCGTGACATCTGATGAGGACAAGTCTCACTCTGAATAAAAAGAGTGACAGATGCATCGAGAAGATTACATGACACAGCAGTAATATCAAATGTCACGTAGTCAAGGTCGAATCTTCGAATTCCACCTTTAAGCAGAAATTTTTCAACGCCGATTATCAGGATATGGTAGCTCAGTGAGTTAACTCACTGAGCTACCATATCCTGATCTTCTTTACATGAAGGAGGAGGCTCTGTGTTAGTATCTTCCCAGTTGCGGTCAAGTCGTAAATTATGAAAGGGAAGCAAATAACGTCTCGCTAAAACAGTCATTTTAGTTGCCCTTTAAAGGGGAAATTTTCCAGGGGTAGAACATTTTTGAAAGAAAGTTGTTTTCAGCTCTCATTGGCAATCATGCAAAAAGAAATTTAAAGTTATAACATCAGATTTAAGATCTTAGTAAAACTTATATTTGGTTCAATTATAGAAAAAATAAATATGTCAAGTTTTAAGTGAAAAACATTTTCAGATGATTACAGTTTCTTCATTTATTTTCTTAGTTAATCAAAATATTTGACATCACAGTTGATTTTTTTCGTTAAAACCGTTTATTGTTGATATTAAAATTAGATTAAATTTTAAATAACATTACAGTCATGAGCATTATACATTACAAAAGTATGAATCAATATTTTTTATATAATTTTTTTTTCAAAGCATGCATCTACCATTTGATAACTTTTTTTTTTAGGCACAGTAATCAACAGGTATTTATACATTAATACAATGTCATATTAATCATTTCAATTCTGTACTGAATAAAGCATCTACAAAAGATGACTTTAGATACGACTTAATGCATGATAAAAGCAGAAAAATTTAGAACTGTACGCTAATAAATTAGTGACAGATCCTTAAATTCGCAGATTTTCGTCTTCATTATAAATTAAGAAGAAGACACAAATACAGGGAATTAAGACCGCTGAATACTCAGAATTCGACCTGGGTTCAATCCCAGACAAATGGGCAGACTGCATGGTTGGTTTTCGTGGTTTTTTTCCCTGTGCAAGATGAATGCAATTTCCCTTAGAAAGTCCTCCACGATGGCATCTCTCTGCTTAGACAGATAGCCCCTTGCATACTTAGATAATCAGAATAACACAACCAATAATTACGAATTAAATAAGTAATTATTATTGTGCTTTTTTAATTTTGTATATACATACATACACATTCATCTGTTTATTAACATTTCACTATTACATTCTTTTCTTCTACGAATTACCCTTTTTTTCCCCCTTTGGAGATTTGAAATATTGCGATAATGTAGTAACCCGATCCAATTCTAGTTTATCAGTAATAATTACCACTTACGAAAAATAACTTAAAAGTTTTTTAAAGTAAGTAAGCTTTTTTACTTATTATGTGCTCCATCTTTAGGCACTACACCGAAATGGAGAGATGCCACATGGAGGTCTTTTAACGGGAAAGTGGCTCGTATCCACGTTGCACATGGGAAAAACCACGAAAACGACCATATAGCCAACCCTTTCGCCGGGACTGGAACCTCGAACCGAACTACCAGTGTTCAGCGGCTTTTAAAGCTCGGTCGCTGGTGGGCGGCAAAGTAAGCTTGACCTGCCGTTTAAGCTACTTTACGAAAGACTTTGCATCTTCGATGGCACAGCTAAGAGGGAGGGACAAATGGGGACATTTGTTTGTCCCCGGGCGCAATACCCAAGGGGCGCTAAATTAATGATACGAAATTTTAGAATGAAATGTTTTACACCTTTGGCAAACAGAAGGAGGCGTAAAATCTTCAGCCGTCTCCGGGCGGCATATTTCACAAGTGCACATCAGCTTAGCTACTGAGGGAGGGGTTTCGAAAATGGACCAATGAGCTGCTATTGCTCTTGTGACGCTAAATCTTCGTGCATGTGAGCGTATGTTGTTTACGTTTTAATTTGATTTTGTTTCGCAGTTATAAATATATGGCGTAATAATAGAAAATCTCGTAGTGCTTTCGTTTTCTGAGTTTGATTAATCGCTGACATTTCCCTTTCGCTATTTTTATAACGCATTAATATTAGCATCGATGTTCACAGCATATTATGTGGATTAAGAGAATTCAAGTGTATATATATTTTTTTTAATTGAGCTGAGAATGACTGAAAGTGTACAATGAATCTAGTATTTTCTTTCAATGCTTGCATTCTTTTGATTTTTAAAGTGTAAGATTCAGAATACATATAATCTCATTATATCCATTGTTAACATTAAAAATTATATGTGAATAAATTGAATATACTCATTGTGAATACAATAAATTCACTCTATTTCATGAGTATTTCTTGTGTAGACAGTACATTTAAGAGTGAGCAGTTATTAAATATGAAATTTAACACACTAAATGTATTCAAATGCAAATTAGTAAAGTTCACTTTGAATAAAATTCTGCATTGGTTATTATTATAGAACATCTTTTTCATATAGACTGCAATGAAAAGTGCTGACTTCTATTTACATATATAAATTGGTGTAAATATATTTCTCATACGCATAGTTGTATGTAAAGTTACGTAAAGTTATGTAAAGTTTAGTTATTTTACGCATAGTTTTATGAGCATTTGAGCTCAGATCTTTAACATATATTTCTTTTTTCAACTTATTTACCACTTATTAAGTAATATTTCACATCAATATTTTTGCGAAGTATCCAACATGTGTTTGTATTTATTTCAACCAAGTAATCAAATCTTCAAAATTTCCTATAATTAATTTAACTTCGCAATGAAAAGTTTCAGAAGCAATAGATGATGCTTTAATTATTTTGTACAGAATATTTTCAACCATCTTGCTTAAATTTTACAGCGCGCGAAAGGTTATGTGACATGACAGAAATATTACTGGATGCTCATTGGTTCATCCTAGAAGCCACTCCCTCGGTGGCTACACAGATGTGTACTTGTGAAATATGCCTCCGGGCGCTAGAAACCCAAGCTATGGCTCTGCGTTTCATTTGAGATGATATTACTTAGACCTGTTATGAATCATGTTAAAACTGATATCACTGTTCACAATATACAAATCGGTATACAATACTGTTTTTAATATACTAAATTCAGCCGTTTAATAAACTAACATACGTTTAGAAGGGAAGTGATTTTAATAAGCGGCGTGTATTGTATTTAATAAGTGTGTGTTATATGATGATAACTTAAAAATTTTACCTTTGACTTAAAACCTAACCAAATATTTGTAACAGTTTTTTTACCTAACAATTACATTAAACCTAATCAACTATTTGCATCAGTTTTCTTTTTTCTTTTTTTTTTAACTTCAATACATTTGCAATAATGAACTTTCTATTTTTAGAATATTCTTCTTTGATACTTTTTATAAATTACCTTTTTATTTTAATAACTGAATGTGTGACTAATATGTATTTAACCAAAAATTTTATCAATAATGTATTTTTCAGTATTGTTAACTTTCGCCGCTGTTAAAAATTCTCTGGCGATGCAGCTTGTGCAGTTTTATTCATAAGCCTCGAATACAAAAATTAACTGTTACAAAACTAATGACAAAGTAGCAGAAGTATTTGTAATTTGAAAAACTTAAACATAAATTGTTAGGTGTTTAATCGGCCCCGAAGTAACTTTTATTAGACCACGCTGAAGG